CACCGGCCACGGTGGGATTCGAACCTACGACCTTTGGAATACTTGCCCAATGCTCTTCCAACTGAGCTACGCGGTCAGGACGGTTCGAGTAAGTGATATTTCGGAACAGTATCTAGTTCCTTCAATACCAATGTGTTGTAGTAATGTGAATTTTTCTGTGTTGGTGTTGTGTACTCACATGAATAATATGTTTGCGATGTTGCTCTGAGTGCATATCCACACCGGGCGAGCTTGAAAAATATGCCCGGCCACGGTGGGATTCGAACCTACGACCTTTGGAATACTAGCCCAATGCTCTTCCAACTGAGCTACGCGGTCAGGACGGTTCGAGTAACATCGCAAACATATTATTCACCTGAGTACACAACACCAGCACAGAAAAATATTCATATTACTAGAACACATTGGTATTGAAGGAACTAGATACTGTTCCGAAATATCACTTACTCGAATCGTCCTGACCGCGTAGCTAAGTTGGAAGAGCATTGGGCTAGTATTCCAAAGGTCGTAGGTTCGAATCCCATTGTGGCCGGGCATATTTTTCAAGCTCGCCCGGTGTGGATATGCACTCAGAGTAACATCGCAAACATATTCAACTTAGATGTTTATGACGTTGAATATCTTCGGGCATAGACATTCCACTTAGATGTTTATGACGTTGAATATCTTCGGCATAAATATTCCACTTACATGTTTATGACGTTGAATATCTTCGGCATAAACATTCAAATTAGATGTTTATGACGTTGAATATCTCCGGCATAAACATTCAGCTTAGATTTTTATGACGTTGAATATCTTCGGCATAAACATTCCACTTAGATGTTTATGACGTTGAATATCTTCGGCATAAACATTCCACTTAGATGTTTATGACGTTGAATCTCTTCGGCCTAAGCATTCCAGTTATAGATGTTTATGACGTTGAATATCTTCGGCATAAACAGTCAACTTAGATGTTTATGACGTTCAACATCTTCGGCATAAACATTCCACTTATAGATGTTTATGACGTTGAATATCTTCGGCATAAACATTCCAGTTAGATGTTTATGACGTTGAATATCTTCGGCATAAACATTCAACTTAGATGTTTATGACGTTGAATATTTTTGGCATAAACTTTCCACTTAGATGTTTGTGACGTTGAATATCTTCGGCATAAACATTCAACTTAGATGTTTATGACGTTGAATATCTTCGGCATAAACGTTCAACTTAGATTTTTATGACGTTGAATATCTTCGGCATGAACATTCAACTTAGATATTTATGATGTTGAATATCTTCGGCATAAACTTTCCACTTAGATGTTTGTGACGTTGAATATCTTCGGCATAAACATTCAACTTAGATGTTTATGACGTTGAATATCTTCGGCATAAACATTCAACTTAGATGTTTATGACGTTGAATATCTTCGGCATAAACATTCAACTTAGATTTTTATGACGTTCAACATCTTCGGCATATACATTCCACTTATATAGATATTTATTATAGTGTTTATATTATCAAACTTTAAGGAATTATTCTCTCGCTCATTTACTACAATACTCTCTCTCCAAACACTACTCTGTCTCCCCTCGTGTTCCTCACGTGGCTGTGACGTCACAGACACTACATCCCTCTTTTACGTGAAAATGCTTATCCAAACGTCAATAAACATGCAAAACTAAATATCAATTGTCAGAGTTTGTAACTGTCAATTCGTATACTGTCTTACTCTTCCGGACTGCGTGAATGTCACTTTTCATGTCCAAGATATTCAGGAGGTTTTCGCTGTCGCTGGGGTCTAGGCTTTGCTGTTGTATCAACCACTTGGTCTGGTTTCCGTTTGGCTTCGTGTGGATGATTATCTGTTCCCTCCGGCGGCAATTTGCGAACTGCTGACGAATTCCTCATTATCTCGGGCTCAGCTCGTCTCTTTAGAAGTAAACTTGTGCCTTTCGTTCCTACCACTATATATGGGTCTGGGTCATATTTTGTGGATAATTTATTCTTTCGTTCTTGCTTCAAAAGAACTTTGTCACCCCTCTTTATGTTGGAAGGTGCTGCACGTCTTTTCTCATCCGCATACTTCTTCATCTTTGCTTTCTGACAACGATCACGCTCTAGAATGGCGGGGTCGACAACAGGTGACGTTGAAGCTGGCGAACGGCTAGTGTTCAACGACGGGAGCTTGGTGCGTATCTCTCGACCAAACAAGAGAACAGCGGGTGATTTGCCAGTAGTGCAATGAGCTGTTGCTCGGTAATTGAGTAGGAAGGTGTTGAGCTCGCTTTTCCAATCTTTTCCTTCGGTATTTGCAGCGCGAATGGCCTTCTCGAGTGTGCGGTTAAACCGTTCGACTTCGGAATTGGCTTGTGGCCAATAAGGTGTTACTCGACGGTGTGTGATGCCGTGCTCTCGAAGATACAAATCAAACTCTTCAGCCACAAATTGAGGTCCATTGTCTGTAACGATTGCTTCTGGGAGACCATGCACAGCGAAGCACGATTTCATGCGATTGATGATGACTGCTGCAGTTGTGCTCTTTAAAATGAAAACTTCTGGCCATCGAGAACATGAATCAACTAAAACCAGAAGCGACACACCACTAGGGAAAGGACCACATAGATCAACATGCAAGACGGTCCACGGACGTGAAGGCATTTCTGTCATGGTAAGTGGCTGTGGGCATGACTGGGAGGACTGGGCCTGACAGGAAATACAGGAACGAATCAAGTGTTCAACGTCTTTGTCGATCCCAGGCCACCAGACTTTCTCTCGCAAGAGCTGTTTTGTTCGATTTCTAAGGCCTGGCGATCGGCCAGTTCGAATGAACGAGCAATCGATAATAAATTGTTCAATGTTAGTTCTTGTTCTCGAAGTAGGCGACGCCGAAGAGCGTTCGAAGCACACTTTTCAATGATTTGGTCACGGATCATTTCATCTAAACATGTATCGAACTGGCACGTTTTTGCAAGGGTTCTCAAGCGAGTTACAAAAGCATCCATGGACTCGTCGGCACGTTGGGTTGCTTGTCTGAAAACATGACGTTCGAAAGCTATGTTTTTCACGGGTTGAAATGTGCATTCAATTTCTCGAGCGCTGTTTTGTAATCCTCGCCAGTATCAGGCAACGTCTCGAAGATTTCTTGCACTTCTGCACCCGCTAAATGAAGTAGAATGGCCTTCTTTTGCTTTTGAACGGAGATGCCCGATCCACGAATGTAGTAATCGAGCGAGTTCGTCCATTTGTCCCAACGTTGTGCCAACGAACTCGTTTCAGACACAGAAAAGGGTGGAATAGCCGGTAAATCAAGGACCTTAGCCATTTCGTATGAAAATCAACCAACGTCGATACTTTTACTTTACCTCGTCGCCAATTATAGTGTTTATATTATCAAACTTTAAGGATTTATTCTCTCGCTCATTTACTACAATACTCTCTCTCCAAACACTACTCTGTCTCCCCTCGTGTTCCTCACGTGACTGTGACGTCACAGAGACTACATTTATGACGTTGAATATCTTCGGCATAAACATTCCAGTTAGATGTTTATGACGTTGAATATCTTCGGCATAAACATTCCACTTAGATGTTTATGACGTTGAATATGTTCGGCATAAACTTCCCACTTAGATGTTTGTGACGTTGAATATCTTCGGCATTAACATTCAACTTAGATGTTTATGACGTTGAATATCTTCGGCATAAACATTCCAGTTAGATGCTTATGACGTTGAATATCATCGGCATAAACTTTCCTCTTAGATGTTTATGACGTTGAATATCATCGAGATAAACTTTCCACTTAGATGTTTGTGACGTTGAATATCTTCGGCATAAACATGCAACTTAGATGTTTATGACGTTGAATATCTTCGGCATAAACATTCAACTTAGATGTTTATGATGTTGAATATCTTCGGCATAAACATTCAACTTAGATGTTTATGACGTTGAATATCTTCGGCATAAACATTCCACTTGGATGTTTATGACGTTGAATCTCTTCGGCATAAACATTCCAGTTATAGATGTTTATGACGTTGAATATGTTCGGCCATAGTTAATGGAGCGAGATGGTTTGGAAGCTCGTTTACTTCCGGTATTATGTTATGTTATTCAATTTTGTGGTCACATGACTACGAACGACTACGGCGTTGTGACCAATATGGTGACTATTAGCGAAGAAGGAATGCAAACCATGGGAGAAATGTTTGAAAGTGGGGAAGCTTTAGCGGCAGAAAATGAAAAGGCAGAGCTTGATGTGTTAGTTGATGTGATAAACGAACACTTGGACTATTTTAATGAGGACAAGAACTTCGAGAAAAAGGTTGAAGATGCCGTTCAGGAGATTGAAATACCACCAAAACATCCGTGTCCGAATTGTACGAAAATATGCAAATCAAAAGGCGGTCTCACTCGTCATATACGATCAAAGCATACGCTCCTTGATACAAATGATGGCAAAGATGACAACAGCGCTAGCACTGCAACCAAGCCAACCATTTCAAAAGCGATTGTAGAGGATTTGTTTAAAAAAGCTAACTCTAAAATAAAGGATAATTTATATGGGGAGGAAATCGTTATTATTTGTAAGAATCTAAAGCCATCTTCGTTTTGTGCTGACGTTCTCGATAAACTTCATCGACGTTTCATCAAGAAATCGAATCAAGATACTTTGTTAAGTACTAGTGAACTATACAAACTCTTGTCGAAAGAACCTGAGAAACTTGTCGACAACCAACCAACTGATAAACGGTGGTCACTCGAGCAAATTAGAATCGCTGTGAATCTGTTGTTTATACATTTACCCGAGTTTCTCGTTTTGGCAACTTGAAAGAACCAAACTAGTGAACAAACTAAAGATATACCTGAAGTGAATGAAAGGGAACATGGTCCCCTTTCTTACTTGATGGGATCAGTCATTTCCAAAATGTTCATGACGAGCAAATTTAGAAAGAAATCCATGTTAGAAAGTACAATTAACAAATAAAGAAGAACTTGAG